CTCCAGCTCCCCACCCCCCCTCCACGGCGCCTCCAGGGAAGACTCTGGCCCTCTCCAGCTTTGCCCCCGACACGCCCCAGGCGCCACAGCAGCCCCGTGCCCGCCCGTGGGGCCAGAGCGCCCCTCTCAGCCCCCAGCCCCAGGTCTGGGCCGCCCCGGGAGCTGTCTGCTGTGACAGGTTTACGGCTCCAAGCAAGCCGTGGCTAAGAGAAAACAGTTTTCGTATGTTCCCCGCACAGGGAGTTTTATTAAAATGCTGTAAATCTCGAGGGCAGAGTGTGATGTCAGTGCGCAGGCAGACCGGGGGTGGGGGCTGCAACCTCCTGACCCCACCCAGCCCCGCCCCTCCAGCACAAGCGGGGCGCAGGGGCCCAGCGCGGCCTGGCCCGGGGCGAGGGGGACCAGGCTGTGTCCCAGCACATGTCAGGCCCCCCGCTGTCCCCCCAGGGGCTCCAGTCCACATGCCCAGGCATGGCGCCCTCCCTCCTCCCGTGCCCGGCGCACACAGGCCTCACCCAACCCACGGTCACCAGCACCGGCGCCCTCCTGTGTCCCTGCCGCCTTCAGCCACCTCCTAGGACGCCTCAGCCCAAGAGCTCCAGGCCTGTGCCTGCCTGGACACTGCATGTCCCCTGCCCGCCCGCCGGTGAACTCCTACTCACCCCTCAAAGCCCTATGCAGACACTGCCCGCTCTCTCTGCGCTGTGGGCTCCTCGACACTAGGTGCGGCCCCCAGTGCCACGCTCTCTGACAAGGTCGCCCAGGCAGGCCACGGCCACGGCCACGGCCACGGCTCAGTGGGTGCTCAGAACACGTCGCTCTCTCCGGCTCAACTGGGGCCCCAGAACAGAGGCCTGGGCCTTCCTGAGGCGTCCGGGCGGGTGCGGTCAGGAGCGAGGGCTCCCCGGCACGAGCCCAGCCCGAGCCTGGCATGGGCCACCTCCACGGCCGCTGGACCTCCCGCCGGGGTGGGCGCTTGCCCTGGACCCTCTGAGCCAGCCGGACACGGGCACAGCTGGGGTTCGGGGGGCAGCCGGCGGGGTCCAGAGCCCCACGAGGAGGCGTGCGCGCGGCTCGGGGTCACCGAGCTGTGGTCACTTGATGTGGCAGTGACCGTCCCCGGCCTCCGCCCGTGGCCGCTGCCTCCCCTGCCCCCGGGCTCAGCCCTCCCAGCGCCCCACGGTGGGCACACCTTGGGATCTCACCACCCTGCTGGTGGGTCCGGTGGGTCCAGCCCACGTCTGTCCACTCCGAAGCTCTGAGGCCCCGGGTGGGGGGCTGACACTTGTCGGGAGCTGGGGGAGCCGGGGGCCGTGACAGAGGCACCTGGGGGACGCCGGGGGCGCAGAGCACCCCGGGCTCTTCCTCTGGGCTAAGCAGCTCCCCATCGCCCCCCAGGAACATGAGCAGCAGCTTCAGAAGCGAACCCCGCACACACAACCCCGCAGCCGAGACCGGGGGCTGCGGGGGGCAGGCGGGGTGGGGGCTTGGGGAGCGCGACCGCGCAGCCCTGTGGGCCGGCTCCGGCCCCCGTGACGCCGGACAGGCAGGGTAGCGGGCCGTGGCCGGACACCCCCGCCGGATCGGGCTCCGGAAGCGCCAGGGGCGGGCAGTCATGTCAAACGGACTCAGGGCGCTGAGCACGGACACGCCGCGCCTCGTGAAGTCGGGCACAGCAGCCACGCCGAGGGCCACAGCTGCCAGCGGGGGCCTGCCACGTGGCCGCGGAGGGACTGGCGCGGGCTCTGCCCCCAGGCGCCGCGGGAGACGCAGTCCTGAGAAATGGGGTCCCCTGAACTCACGGGGGGCTTGGTGGCTCACAAGCCCGGGGCCCGTGTTCCCCAGAGACACTGGAGAGCCGGGGTGCCAGAGAAGCGCGGGCTGTGTGGAGGCCCCCACGGGTCCCCGAGAGGGGATCTCAGCTCAGAGGAGGAGGGGGGCGGGGGGCTGCTCCGAGGCCTGGGGGTGCAGCCGCCGAGGGGGGGCGCGGGGACGGGAGGAGGCCTCGCTAAGTACGGCCAAGCGCCAGGTCACACCCCCAGCACCC